CACTTCCTAGTGGTTGCCTTTGATGGTCTTATAACCTTGGAGATGCATTTGATCTGAGACTCTCTGGAGGAATCATCGTATTAATCAGACAGGAAGATTCTGACATTGATGTCTCAGGAACTGCTTCAAGCTAGTATGACCTCTATAGTCTCACCAGGGACTAAGCCTTTCATACATGCTTTTATCTCGTCCTGTTGACCTAATTGCTATAACTCTTTGCTTGCTGGTTTACCAAGTACCATCTTTTTCTGGAAAAGAAAGTGAGCATCTTACTTGTGCAAAAAAAGGGGGGGCGGGGCTAAGAATGGCCTGCAGAAGCAAAAGGTGTAATTACTTTGGAGGAAATTTACATCTGTGGAACAATATATGTTTAAATTTAAATAGACTGCAGTCCTATGATCCTTGTGAGGACATCAGAGCAGCGATAGAATGTGTCAGAACTTCCTCTCTAAAGGTGGAAAACTCCATCCCCAGAGAGGTGAATTTGATCTTGGAAACCCTGTCCCAGGTGCCACATAAATCTGGTGCTAGTAGAAGCAATAAGGAAGATTTCTATGGCTGTGTCTGGGGAAAGCTTGGATGTGCAAGACCCGAAGCCTCTGCATTTCATGGCATGTTCCAAACCAGGAGCAAATCTATGCCAGTGCTGGAGGTAGCACAGATTAACTCCTGTGCATTGGAAGCAGTGGGAGGGCGGGGGGGGGGGTCACTCAAAGGAAAAAATGGCCAAACACCACCAGCAAAACTCTGTTTCTCCCTTTTTTCTCCCATTACAGCATGATCCTGGCAGGCCTTTGGATACACCAACTCCTCATTCTTTGTTTTTCCCAGCTACATGCACATGGTAGGATTGTACTGCCCATCTTAGTTAAGTACTTTATAGTACTTCTCACCCCTCTGGAGAACATTATGGGCTATTGATAGCATGGCTGTGATCTTGCTCATTTTCTGTGGGGATCTGTTACCAGTCCTTGAGATGGGATTAGTTTTCTCTTGCTTTCCAATCGCTTTTTTTTTTAAGAGCGTGGACAGTATGGCTGACAGCTCAGAAGTTTCGATAGCAGCCTTGAAGAAATGACTGTTGCTATTATCCCATCGTTTTTGATGAAGTGCTGAAGCTGTCAGGATCCACTCTGCTCCAGGGCTTCAGCTGATGGTCAGAAGCAGACACGCAGCTTAGTACTCGCTCGGTCCCGGGCACTACTGGAGCTCTCAGCCCCGGTGAGTGCCAGCTAGGAGCCCAGGGGGAAGAGCTATCTAAGAGCAAGCTCCACAAGAGACCTTAGCGGCACAGGTCTGATGGTTCACTGTAGTCCTTGTGTTGTGTTGTGTGCCCTGCCCAGTTATTCCGCCTCAAGGTACTTGCACCTCTGTTTGTCTTCCTGGTTTTCAACCCTTGGCTTGTTCATGACCACATCCCTGTATTGCTCTGTAGCTACATCTTAGACCTGCCATTAAACCTTGCCTTTTGCACTTTGGCCTCCATTTTGCCTTAAGTTCAACCGCCCTAGTCCTGGTGCTTCTCTTGTCCCTGCCACCCATCTCCTGGCCTTGGACCGTGACAGAGGCTGCAAAAAGGAAGGCCTGCCCAAACTAGCTGGTAAACTTGTAGCAGAGGTAAAACAGGAATTGGAATGCTTGCACTTGGGGTCCTGGGAGCCACCATAAAATGGCTTCCCTCGTCACACTTCCACAAGCTTACTAGACAGATATGACTCCCTTTTTCTTTTTTCCTTGGTGGCTGTGCACACTGCAGAGATAGTCACTGGCCTGCTCTGTCCTGCCACCTTGCTTTTTCTCTGAGCTAGATCCACATGTGTCTTAGAGGCATGCAAGGAAAATGAAGGTGCCAGCAGCTGGAGGCTCTCACTTTGCTCTGAAGCAATCCCAGCTGGCAAGAAAACATTTTTGCTTAAAATAAACCCCACCCTACCTTGGGATAGAGCACCTATAGGAAATAGGTCTGTAGTCCTATTTCCTATCCTAGAAACTAGACTTTCTAGTTCCCAGCTCACCTCCTAGCTCACCTCCTTAGACTTCCCACCACAGCCATTTGGCTTGGGTTTCCTCCCCCACAACCCTACTGCTTTCTCTATGATCAATGGAAAACACCTCCTTCACTTTGGCTGCGATCCAGAGATAACATAAGCACAGCAAGCTCCTATACATTAAACCTTTTAGTCCCCTGCCAGCCCACAACATTTTGCTATTGAAGGTCACATCCAAACACCACCAGTCCCCCACCCGACCATGCTGGGAAGAGCTTATCAAGGAGACAGGCTGCTTTGATAATAAGTGCTTTGTCCATTTGAAGCTTTCCATAAAGCCCATTAGATCCATGCCTATACATCTTAGAGATTTGCCCACAAGTGGATGGTGATGCATTCATGATCGCTGCTCCATGATTACAGAACTCTCCCAGAGTTCAGGCATAGTTCAAATGCAGAGATCTTTTGAAAGCTCCTTTTCTCATTTGGCCTGTTTTTAGAGCACATACTTAAACCTTTGGTGGAATAAACTAAAAATATGAGGTTTTATGTTTTAATATAGTTCTGTAAAGTATGCTTTATTTAGAAGACTCACTTCCCCTTCCAGTCTGTCTAGGGTAGGCTCACTGTCTGAAAAAATTACACATTAGTTCTCACTATAGGCTATATTCAAAGTAAAGCAGCATAAGTAAACCATAATGTTCATTTTTAAAAGGATAGAGTGCTTTAATGCATATTTTCAAGCCAAATATGAACTGTCAATATTACGCAACTGCATACAGAGATGAGTGTTCATATTTCCCACAGCTTTTAAGTCATTGTTGGCCTTGAGATATGTATGCGTATAATTTATTCTGTGTGTCCTTTTCATAACACAAACAGCTTTAAAAAAACCACTAAACGATCATGTGACAAAATAAACAGCTTTAAGAGGCTACTTTGATGGGCAATAGATCACTAAGGATAGGAGAAAGAAATAGTACGTGCCACTGAAGTTCCAAGATGAACACCAAAAGCCTTTCCTTTTAAGGGTTGCTTTTGAGCTTCTTTTAACTCCACAGGTGCCAAAGCATGTATTCTTTTACTTGTGATTTATATTTTCAGGTAATCCATAGAGTGGCCCATGACCATCACAGTTTAAAAAGCATATAAGGGATTGGGGATCCGCCCCCCCGCCCACCTCGCAAGCCATGCTTCTCAGCTTTGGATAAGCCATATGCAAACAGTTAAGCAAATACATGTATATCTAGCATCTGCCACAACTGAAACAAGTCACCTTGGCTAGTTTAAGCCATGGTGCCTGTGAAAACCAAGGCCAGAGCTCTTACTAGTAATGTCATTTACATACTGGGGAAGGGCTTCCAAGCTACCTCTCTTTGGCAAGAATCCACCCTTCAGCAAGTTTACTCTAAATCAACAATACAAATAACTTGAAAGGCCACTTTTATGTTTACTAACCCAATGAGATTCATGAGAAATTTTTTTCTTTCAATGTTGTGAAAATTGTATGCCATTCTGACTATCTCTCTGCCATAGTTCACCCTTTTCTTTCTAGCATTACACAAAACTGAGTTCTTGAGAACCCTCTTTTTTCAACTAATATGCAGTCCTTTTTGTAATTTATTCTCTGAAGCACAACCATTTGCTCCGGTGTTACCTTTCGTTTTCCTGCCATGATTCTTTCCTCTACAGCCAATAAAGCTGTCTACACCTTGTCACCGTTCTTGACTTTTCTTCTCTTTCTCTTCACCCAGCTGCCTTCTCTCCACTTTGGAGGCTAGCTGTGCAATCCTGTAAATATCTACTCAGGAGTAGGTACCACTGAGTCCAATGAGCCTTAATTAGGTATAGCACTGCGATCTTAAATAAAGCTGTTGCACAAGGAGAAAACAAATAGCAGAGAGGGTTAACCCTTTCCCCCACTGCATGGCACTTACAACTAAGGTCAGGGCCACACATACTGAGAACAAAGGGGATCAGGCACATACTGCAAATGTAACATATTAGGTAGTTTGAGCCCAAGTTCAGTGCCAAGGTTTTCATGCACTCAGCCGCTCCCATCAGTGAAGGAATTGTGGCTTTAGGTGGACTGTGCAGTCTAACTTTTACTACAACTGACTGCTAAAACAGGACCAACTCTACCATGCACCTCTGAATGTAGACAGATGAGATGAGGTGATTCAGGCACTGAGAACTAGTGTGGTATAATAGTTAAGATTGCTGGACTGTGACTCAGGAGATTTGGGTTCTAGTCCCCGATTCAACCATGAAACCCACTGGGTGACCATGGTTCAATAACTCCTCTCAGCCTAACCAACTTTGCAGGGTTGTTGTTGTGAGGGTAGAGGAGAACCTTGTAGGCAGAATATGAATGAAATAAAAAAAATCACCTGTCCATACTTCCATTTTGGTTTTACAGTTGGGACCAATCTTGGACTTTCTACAACTGTTGAACATTTCTGTAAGGTACTGTAAACTGAGAACTACCAAATGTTTACAGGCTTAAACTATGCTGTAGTTTTCACCAGCATGACCAACCTCTAAATGGTTTGGGCCATCCCTTCTATCATCAGCTGGCCTGACCATGTGGTTGTAAGATGGCATGTGCTGTAGGACTGTATGACTGAAGGTAAGCCACACTGAGGAAGAAAGGTACTACTGTGTTTACCTTCATTAGAGAATTTAGAAATAAAGACACAGAAACACAGAGACAGAGCAAGACAGAAGAGGTCTCCTGGGCCATCTATGACCCATGGCTCCAGCCGGTTCCACTCATAACATGCCTACCATGTTAATGTCCAACCTATCCTTGAAGACCCTCACCGATGGGGCTTCAACTACTTCCTGTGGAAGCCCATTCCACATCCTAGGGGTCCTACAAAGTTGGAAAAAAGCATAGCTACAGTATGGCCAAGCAACGACTTCAGGGATGTCACAGCATTACAATTGACCCAAATTGAATACAAGCAGTCATGTGGAGGTAAGAAAGAACAAAAAATCAGAGACATTTGATTACACATAACATTTCTAGTTTATCCTTTTCAGATTGTATACATCCTGTCCAAAGTACAATAAAGATCTGTTTTATGACATAGATCTTCAACACACTGTGGTATCATGGCTCAAGTGAACAGTTTTTTTATAATCATATGAATATAAAGACTCGTAAATGCTCCTAACAGCATTCAAATGTTGATGCTAGAAATAAAAACATGTTTACTGAATCATAGTTGAGGATAAAATGAAAAAAAAACCTTATCCATGATATCTATCAATCATGAAAATATTATACTTTTCACTGTAAAGATTCACTTGCAATTTTATAAATATTTGTGTTCTCAAATTACTATTTATTTTATTTACAATGTACAGAACACAAGTCCATATTTTCTATAGTATATAAATCAATCACTGAGTTCTTCCTCATCACTAAAATATGCACTTTTTTTGATCCGGGGTCTTCTTGAATCAGATGTTGAAGGCTCCCCTGCTGTCTGTGTTGACCTTTGCTGCTCTTCTTCAATTTTGGCTTGCTGCAAGATAAGCATATACAAGTAAAGTGACAGAAGATATGGAGTTATCATGAAGTTATGGATATCTGTCCCTCTAGCATATAAAACTTTGATAGGCCAGTCATTTGCTCATTGATATGATTTGTACTATGTCTGTATGTTTTGCCTGAAACACTTAAGCATACCTTGTGAGAATCTTGCATTAAAGAAAAAAAAAAATGAAAACACAACAACTTGACCCCTACACAACTGGCATCTGTAGCAATTTCTTTCTTTCCTTCTAGCTCCTTGAACTAAGTTAAGGATGTGAAACTTCTTTTCTGTAAAAAATTACAGACCCATTCTGGGCAAAGAAATCAGAGGCCAGATTCCATTGGCCATTTTGATCCCTAATTTCATTCCTTTGACTGGGATTTTTTCTTTTGGGTAGGGGGAACGGGGACAGACTGATGCTGTCACATAAAGCCTCATACTCTATGCTGACCAACCATTCCCCATCTCCTGGGTTCTGCTTTCCCCCCTCCAGGCAGGAAAGCTTATTGGCTGGGTAAAGGTGGGTAAAGACGAAGTGGAAAGTGGCAGTGATCAAAGTGGGAGCAGTGGCAGTCAGACTGGAACTGGATAGTCACCTTTGTGTGCTCTGTTGTGTATTGCACTGTGGAATAGAAATGCTGGCAGCTGCCCAGTGGGAGTAAAGCAGTCAGTCAGGTCGACCTTGAAGAAGCCATAGCAGTGGGGCCAAACTACTCATTAGTCTGATCAATCAAGGGAAAACTGTCATGGATTCCTCTCTCCCCCCACCCTGCTTCTTTGCTAGGTCTCACCTTTTCCACAAAATCAGCAACAAGAAAGGGAAAAGGGGTTCTTTTTCAGTGATGCAGCAGGAAAAATGCCCCCTTTCTGTTGGTTAAGGAGGAGGGGCTGAGAAGGGTGTGTTGGGAATGTGTGCGTGTGAAGGGGATAGAGTGGCAGGGCATGCAGCAGTGATTCCACCCACCCTGGGCAGTGGCCTTGCCACTGCTGCTCTTTGACCCCTGCCATTTTGGCCTGGCATCCACCTGGGTAAGGGTCCCACAAGCTTTTCATTGGACAGAAAAGACATTATCTGTTGGATGCAAGTAGGCATTTCAGTACCTGGAAAGCTATAGCTTGACTGAGGCTATCAAGAGCAGGGTCTTCTCCCTCATCTTCACTTTCTTCTTCTTCCTCACTGAGCAGCATGAAAAGAAAGGGGGGATCCACATGTTTCTGAATGCTTGCACTTTCTAGAAAAAGTAAAAGTGTGGAAACTCCTTCATACACTTACATTTCTTCTTCTGGCTCAATTACTTTCTTCCTTTTCTTCTTTTCTTTCTTTTTGGGTGGTTCACGCTCTCCTAGCATATTCTTAGGACAAACATAGCTTAAATGACCTGTTTCCTTAAAGTAAAAATATATTAGTGAATAGAACTCATGAAAAAGCACAACAGCTTGGATAATCAACATAGACATAAAATATTAATCCATCTATACAATTTTGTCTTCACAAATTCCTATTCTTAAATAGTGAATCTGTACCAGTGTAAAACTTGCAAGTACTTAAGTGTGACAAAGCAGAAGGAAGTTGCAGTCTTTCTGACAGCTGTAGTATAAAAAGCATAATTAATTTTAGGTTCAGTACTGGAGATATTACAGTCAGCAGAAACATATATTCAGTAATGAAAAATAATTCTGACAATTATCTATAGCTTACTAACTGGTAACCCAACAGCTTACTTTGAGATGGACCAGATTAAGGGCACTACCAAATATAGATATTATGTATGTACTTACTCCGCATTCATAGCATTTTGATTTGTCATAATAGTTTCGTCTGCGGATGAATTCTGCAGCTCTTCCATTGTCAATAGCAATACTTGCTTTTATTACTCTTCCAAACAGCTAACAAAAGAGGTAAAATCCACATCTTAGCTTTCTGTATGTCTTGCAAAATGTATCCTGCATTTCACAAAATGTATTGTTACCTACTTGTTTGTTGTTAAGTGCCCGAGAACAGTTATGTGCTGATTCTTTATCCAAGAACAAAATAAATGCAACCCCTTTACTCCTTCGTGTGTCTTTGTCTTTCATAATTGTAACTCTGAAAAGCAACCAAATTATATAAACAAAAAATAGTGCACAACCTTTATGTATCTTTTGTTTTGCTGTAATTTTAAACTTTGATGTTATATCATGTTATTTTCTTATTTTAATTGTAATGTCTTTCCTAGAGAGTTTTGGCTGTTGGGCGCTATAGAGATATAAATAAGTATACACCACTGTGCCATCTGTGTCCCCATAAATAAGTATAAGCCAGTACAAAATTAGAGCCTATGAAATCTTGGATCCATCAATGACAAGACCGTAAACAAAAATATGCAACATATGATGCCATAGCTATACTTACTTAACCACTTTGCCATACTTGGAAAAAATCTGGAAAGAAAAGAAGGCATTTTAACTATTTAGGTTAGGAACCAAGAAAGAATGCAAAAAGGTGCTTTTCAGAAGTCAAAATACACAATACGATGTAACAAGTCATGGTTATGTTAATGCAAAATCAGGTAAAACTCAGTATTAATATTTGATTTTTAAAAGAACATTGCTTACCCTATATAAGTCATTGTTTGTCAACGAGAAGGGCAAATTGGATACATAAACTGTGCTTTTGCTTGGTGCTAGACCTCCACTCATTTTTTCTAGAGGTAAAATGAAAAAGATTTATTAGTTGTCAAACCAAAAGATGTACTTTATGGGGACTTATATAAGCAATTGTCATGTATCAAAATTTCAGACAGCAAAGGCTTTCATTTATTTCAGCTGTATTTACAATACCATGATCATGCTCAATAATGCAGAACAATTATCCCAGAAAGTGATGTCTGCACTAGCTGGATGGAGTTTCTGATTGCAACTCCAGCCAGAATCTTCATTTTCTTATTAGAAGCTACTGCAGTCAGGAACACAACTCCAGATCTTTGCTCTTTGCTGTAGGAAATACTACTCCTCAATGAAGAAAGGTTACATTATTTGAAGCTTTTTAATTTAAAAAGAACAAGAAAGGAGGGCATACAGAGGCCTGAAAAAATAATGGACTGGGCTAAGTTTGTTTCTAACAGGGAAAACATAATTGCAGTTGCTATTATAGTTTTGTTATTTTAAATTTGTGTCTGTGTGTGCTTAACCTTTGTTTAATTTTAACTTTTGTTAACCACCCAGAAAGCCTTGACTATTAGACAGTATAAAAATGAAGTAAATAAAATGATTTATTTGTACTCTCACAAAGCTAAGATATTAAAAACAGACAAAATTGACTACTTCATATAGTGCATATGCATATAGTGCACATTTATTATGACAAAATGTGATGGTCACCACCAGTCTAGATGATTTTAAAAGAGGATTAAACAGATTCATGACACCTAAGACTATCAATAGTTTCTTTAATGATATCCATATAATAACTCCAGTAACAAATGGAACATGCTTCTGTATATCAGTTGCTGCTGAACAACCACAGAAAAGGGCTCCTGAGGTCATGTGTTGCTTATAGGATTCCTAGATATTTGGTTGGCCTTGGTGGAAAAAGAATACTGGACTAAAAATTCTTCAGTCTTCCAGTGTTCTTAGCTACACTGAAAGCTTTTATAAAACATATCTGAATAGCACTTTCACTTTCAGAACACATATCTTTTCAAGTAATGAGTGATGTCTCTGAAAAGCATGTGCAAGTGACTAAAATAAAAGATTGGTAGGCTTTGGAGTATACATTGGCTCACACAGATTACTCTCCTCCCCACTTCTTTTTCTTCATCTTGTTTATAGAAACGATGATATTTGGTAGAAAAGTCAAAGACACAAATACATGGATAAGAGAGCATATCTACTTACCTACCATCAATGTATCATTATCTGAGTGAAAGATGGGCTTGAGAGCAGAGAGACTAGGCTGTGCTTTTAATAATGTTCATTCAAAGCCACAAACCACAGCTTTTAGTATGACTAGTACAATTAATGACATTGTTTTGATATTGTTTCTTTTAAATCAATAGCTCAAAGTCCCAACCATCTCATTCTAACCTGTTGACCTAAGTTGCATGACACATGTACCATAGCTTTTATAAGTACAACCTGATTAGCACTTTCTTAAAAAGACACAATTTTCAATAGGAATTACTCCCAGGTAAACACCCCCAGACCTACTGTTTAGTTCTTCCAAGTGGCATGCTTTAAAGCGTAAATGTCCCCAGAAAATTTTAAAGACGGGAAAATGTTTCTGCTAAAAATAGTGATGCTCTTATTCAAGAGCCCAGAGCACCTAGTGGGATATTGTTAGTCTATTATTAACACTACTCGGACTAGATCCGCACTGCAATGAATGGGACTTTACTCAAGACTGTCACTAGATGCAATCCTAAGGATGCACACGACTAAGAGCAAACCCCACTGAATTCAGTCTCACTTCCCCTTAGGGGCAGGTCATGCGGGGCCGGGGGTAGACCCGAAGGAAAAGATCGCTGAGGCACGAGGCGCGGTTTTACTAACCACAGCCAAAGAAGCCGCTCAGTCAGGCCCACACAGAACCATAGCGCCGGCTTCCCCTAAAGTGGCCTGCCGCGCCCGACTCGCCTTGAGGCGCCTTCCCTTGACGTCTTCCTGATGACGTGCCGCAAGACTCACAGTGGGTACGGACATAAACAGACATCAAGGACTTCTACGTTACACCCAGTCTCCATTTCCGGCTTCCATTTGAACGCCACCATAAGCGGGGTCGCTACCCCAGTTCTACCACCCTAAAATTTCTTTGCCATGTTGTAACTCAACCGGAAATGTAATTATAGCACAGTACGTGAAGTCTCTTTGGTGTAGTCTTGGCAGCCTAGAGACCGCGGGATTGGATGAGTGAAGGGAAAAGGAAATGCTGTTCAGTACGTTTCCTGTGATGTTGAAGGCGCGCCGGAAGTGGCCTGGGTCGCGACGCCGTACGGCCGTGGCTTTGATTTGCGGCGGGTGAGTTCTTTGGGAGGAAAGCGTGTGGGTGCTCCGGTTCGCTGGGCAGTTTCTCTCACGTGCCGGGCGACGTTTGGTGACCCGCCCGGCGCCGTGACGTCTTTCAGAGCTTCCTCTTCTCGGCGGCTATATGGTGTGTGTGTTTCTTTTATTTTACCGCGCCTCCATGATTTTGACTGGCCGAGGGCCAGGCAAGGGTAGAGTCTGTTCTGCTTGAAGTGCTGAGCCGCGTCAGGCGTTCAGTCCCCGTCCCATGCTTGTCAATTCAGAAGTAAGCCCGGCTGGGTGCAGTCCCCTTCCCTGTCATAGTGCATAAGGTAGCTGCTAACCCGCCCAAGCTGGTTCTTTTTACCAATTGGGGGTAAGACTAGAAGTGGGAGCATCCTTGGGTAAACAAAACAAACCGTGGAAGTGTGCAAAACCTTTCCCAAGCACCATGGGAGGAGTTATTTGCAAGAATTGTGTTTAGAGTTAATATGGTATTCTGGTCAAACTAGTCTTTGTAGTGCGCTTTCCTGCTGTTCTTTCAAGAGCTTTGATCGAAAATAGCAAACATGTATATTTCTGCCTAGCAATGTATATTGAGCAAGTTGTTCCTTGCTGCCATGCCTGTCACCTGTCATTATGCTTGTAGCAGGGCAGGAGGGGGATCACAACTTGCATATCTTATTCTTCTCTCTCTCTCTCTCTCTCTCTCTCTCTCTCTCTCTCTCTCTCTGTTGGTTATGTCGTACTTTTTAAGTAAGCTTTTTCATTTTAAATCTTGTTAGATGTGATAAAATGTCATAGTTGTGAGCCGCCCCGAGGCTTCGGTGAATGGGGCGGCATAGAAATGTTTTAATAAATAAAATAAATAAATAGTGGGGGAAATCATAGCAGGATTATGGACGGGTAGTTCTTTCTCTTACTTTTTTCTTTCTTCACCCAATCCATGTTCCCTTGTTGCATATAAGTAGTGAAGTGCATTCAGATCCAGAGTCAAAAATAAAAATATGCTAATGTGAGAACGTATCCACAATGCCTAACTTTCAGTGGCATTCATATCCAGAATGGGTAAGCAGGCATGCCAAGGCAGTGTGAATAGATTGCATCAATTTGTATCTTCAATAACATTAGCACAGGATTGAATCCACACTCAGATGAGTATTTATCTCTTTTTTTCTGATCTAATAAGTGATAGGAAAGTCCATTTTCATGTATATGAGCTATCGTTTCAGTTGGGTCAACTGAGTCCACAGGAACAACTGCAGTTTGTCAGTGCAGTGGAAGGTGTGTGGTGGGATGTGTCAGACTCTGTTCTATAGAGCCAACTGCAGAGACAGCCTCAACTTTGATTAGAAAAGAAGGGGATGATGGGGTGGAAGGAAATGTTTCCTTGCGTAAGCTTTTTGCTCATGCTACTTTGAATCCAACATAATATGCTAGATTTTGAACCTTCCAGTATTAATTGCTTTTTTCCCTAACGTAAATGGTTTTAAATCCACAGGAACTAATTGATTGGGATATAAAATATTGTTGAAGCAAGCACAAAAGTAAGTAGTTTTTGGAAATGCTGTCTTCCTTCATAATGAAACTAGAATTAGTTCTAGTAAAAGCAGTGCTCAGCAACCTACAAAAGAGCCAACTGTAACTTGCTGAATAAAATTGGAAGTGGCATGCACACTGCATTTGTCCAGATACATAGTTTAAGAAAAGATTTTTAAAAATGCTATGTTCAGATAAAGAAAACATGTTAAATTAGATCAATTTCTAAGCTGGCAGAGATGCAGGCTGTACATTTTCTGATGCAAATAACCTTATATATAAATTAGCTTAATTAGTATAGGAAAACTTCCCAGTTCAAAATTGTTCAGAAAACCTGCATCGCTAGTTATGCATGTCTTAAAAATAACACAGACAATAAAATCAAAACTAAAGTTAACATGTTCTGTCAAACACAAGCATATTTAAATTTTTAGACCAAAAATGAAAGTCTAAATATTATTGATCTAATAATAATTGACCATTTATCAAAAATCAAGAGAAAATGCTTGACTTCCATGTGAAAGCACTCAACCGTGATCAAATGACATAATAGATAATGTGTTTATTTTCAAAATTATGACTATTTAGGCTGCCAACCAACTCACCTTATGAATATTCACCTCTGCTTGGTCACTGCCAACTGTTCCTTATGTAAAATTTGAATAATTTACCATATAATCCTGTGCATGTCTACACAGAAAAAAATACTATTGAATGTAATGAGACTTTTCCTTGGATAAATGTGTAAACTGGTTTGTAGTCTAAACCTTCAACTCAGGGAACAGCTAGGTATGATACTAATTGTAGTGAATGTAGTTAACATGCATTGATAAGTTATTGTACAGAACTGGTGAGTTGTTGCACACAAACAGGGATGTTCTGCTCTTGTGCAATCCACAGTTGTCTCCTTTATAGGCTGTGATATGGAAAGCTGCACAACTCAGTGGTTAATCTATGGTTTATTGTTTCATTAATTGCTGGGTTGTTCAGCCACTAAATGCAACAATTGAGGTTTATTTATCACATTGTACAACCCATGAAAGAACCAGTTGTGAGTTGTGGAATAAAAGGGGAAGAGGCAGGTGCTGTGAAGGCATTGCACTTGCTTGTACATGATAAACCTTTGGATCTTAAACTGAGAGTTGTCATCATGAGAGAACAGAACCAGTATCTAATAGGTTTGCATAATCTTGTGTATGTTTTAATTGGAAGTAAGCACCCCTAAGTGTAGCAGAACTTATGTGAGTGTTCATAGGACTGCAGCTTTAATTTCACAATTGCCTTAAGCAGATCTGTATCTTGTGCTACAGGTAAATTTTTACACCTTATATCCAAACACTTGAGATTACATATGCATTTGTTTATTTATTTATTTAAAGTTTTTTTACACCGTCCAATACTAAAGTCTCTGGACAGCTTACAAAAAACAAAACAATCACATACAACAAACATCATCTTCATTTTCTATTCAATTTTAAACCCATGGGCGATAATTATGTGTACAAGTTCATAGAACATATGGGTCTGAATCCAGTGCAATAATTCCTCCTGTAAATTTTAGGGCCACTGAGGATCCAGTGATTTGCCAGTGCCATGTTCTTGCTGTGCAACCTCCTGTGTTGTTCCAGGGGTGTCCCCAAGCTATGAAACAGACAAGATGCAAGGGAAGAATGAAAATTGATTTCCCTTCCATTAGTTGGCACTGGAAACTTCATTCACAACCATCCTGATTGCCCCTTACTTTCTACAAATAGAACTTGTTTTGTTTTGTTTTTTGTGATTTCTATGTCGTTTATCCTATTGATTGTGTGTCTGCAGCAAAATATGGAAAATACTACTTTTCTCTTCCTTTTTAAATTGATATGTGAAACGTCCTCTCGGTAACAGACGTTGTCTCCTATTGTCAGGAGCTGAGTTTTTCCTTCAATTTGTGTGTTGTTTCGTTAGCCAGGTTTTCCATGTACCGTTATAGATAGGGGTACCCGAGTGGTTTACAGTGTGCCTGACACTGAACAAGATTGATCTGTTAAAATAGATTTTCTTTTTGGCATCATGTTTCTAAAGGCTAAGTGGATTATGTGATCTGTCTTTTGATGGTTGATTTGATTATAGTGTAATTTGATGGTTGGGGGAATTACATGCAAAAATATCTGTAAATTGCATGTGACAAACTGAGGCCTTGTGAAGACTACATCTATGAACAGAAAATTCTGATGAGAGTTTGCTTCATATAAGTGTAAAAGAATCAATGCCCCTTGAATGCTTGTTGAAATTTCTTACTGTCCAAATGTGTTGGAGACTGAACCCAGTAATGCTAGGGTGAGGATGTTTGTAATATCAAAGTTATTTGGGGGGTGGGGGGGTGGATTCGATAAGGTCCATGCTTCAGGTGGTTGGGTCACCCTTGAACTCTGGGAAGCTTACGACTGTAGGTGACAACTTCCTGTGAAGTAGGAAGTTTCTATCCTGTGTACCTCGATCACTTAAATCTAAAAGGGAGAAGAAAATGATAACATGAAGAGGATTTGTATGTTGAATTCATCAAAGATCTTTAAGTCTGTATTTCTTACTTTTCAATGTTCAGGAAATATTTAAGCTGAGGGTGACTGTACAGTTGCCTTGGGGTCCCTACTGTGCCTGACTAATGATCAGCACAGCAAGGTTGCTGAGGTACCTTCTCCCTGTCTTCCTCATTTCTCCTGTTGGTATCCCAGAGGAGACTAAGGGGTGAGTTCCTTTCTCTGCTGTCCTGGCTTCAGCAGGAGTTTGCAGGGAGAAATAGATGATAGTTATGCAAAGTACTGCTGGGATATCATCTACTAGAGGCCCTTGGGCAGAGCAGCAGCATTTTTTTTTTTATTGCTCTGGCCAAGGTACTGTGTAGCCTTTTGGCCTTCATCTAGCTGTGGACAAAATGCTAAGCTGTGGTGTTCTGAACCCAAGAACAAGTTATGACTACTTAGCATGGTTATAAACCACCCCCTTGGAAGTGAGCCTGGGGTTTAGGCAGCTCACTCAGCTTGTCATGAGAACCCAGTCAGAAACTCTGTTAATGGGAATAGCAGAGGCTGAGAAAGAAAATAGGTTTTTAAGTGTTTTTCTCACCCAGTCTCTGTGGTTAGCAGTAAAGGGGATTTTCTGGAAATGTCTGAATAAGAAAAAAACTTCCAAGGAATTCAGGCTCATTTGTGCTGAGAAGTTTGCTGTTTGCCTTGGAAAATCACTAGATGGTTTAACTTTGCAAGTGAGTTAAGTACAAGTAAAATAAGCATCATGATAAAAAGAGCTCATGTCATTTTCTTGTTCCAGCGCATTAATATATTTTACCTTAACTATTTAATAAAAAAAAATGAAAAGTCAAAAATGTACCCTAAATGTTATATTATTTATGGCTTTTTATATAAGCCGTCCCGAGGCTATGCGATGGGATGGCATACAAAAATTCTAAATAATAAATAAATATTATTACATTTTATTAAAATAGCTGAAAAACAAAGAGAATAATACGTACTTAGTTGGTTGAGGAGTTTGCCCAGCCCTGTAACTGACACTGTGAATAAGCAAGGAATGTGAATTATTTGTGGCACCAGCGACACAGAGTTCTCAGTGGACAATTGGGCTTATTATGGCTTGCACCCTCTTCCTCCCTGCTTGGGCCTGCAACAGGTATCCTGGGGTTTTGGTTGCTGAAAACACCTTGTCTCCCTTATGCTCTGCAGCTGCTTTTTTTGCAGCTGCTGCTGTTTTCCTTGTCAAATGATGAGTTCTCAAGCAAAAGCAAGTAGTAAAGGTGGATGACAATATATCCAGCCCCTTGCAGGGTTCCTCTAATTTTGAAGTATAAATATGATAATTTTCACTGTCTTCAGCTTTTCTCCCCATTCCTTAAACTCTAGGTACTCAGAAAGGGGGAAAAGTGCATCCGGTCCCATTTACAGAAACACGAATCACAATATCCTTGTGGTGTAGCTGTTTGAATTAGTTGTGAGTGTGTTTCATGGCAGTTCTACACATATTCACACGGCTGTTCGCTGAAGGTAGTTCTGGGGAATTTCTGTTGGACTGTGTGGCATCTTTGCTTTGTGGTCCCACAGAGTTCTGTCCCAACCCTAAGCCTGTTCAGCATCTTCAGGAAACCTCTGAGCGAGGTAATTTGTGGGTTTGAGCATGGGTCCTCAAACTACGGCCCAGGGGCCAGATCCAGCCCACCATGCCCATTTAGCCCACTGCTGCCCACCTCGCTGCACACACCTCCCCTCGATCTCCAAGCAAGCAACCCACTGCCTCGTGCGCCCGCCTCATGGCAAGTGCCTTCCCCCCCCCTCACTGCACACGCCTGCCCGCACCTTGCCTGGCGCCCCGCCCCACTCCCGCCTGCGTGCCTGCATGTGCCACCCCCACCCTGCCCCCTCGCCGGCCTGTGCACACTGCCGGTACCACCTTTCCAGTCTGCGCCCAGCACCAGCACCTTTCAGCTGGCCCTCTGGTCAAAAAGTTTGAGGACCCCTGGTTTAGATCATGTTGTCATCAGTAGACTGATGGCACAAAACATTCTTCTCCATCTCTTTGGAGAGAGGTGAAGCTCTGGGTGGCTAGAGCGGTGCCTGGTGGCAGTAATGGATTGGATTAAAGGTGATCCAGGCAAGGGAGAAGAACTGCAGGTAAATTGTTCCTTGGTCAGGTTGACTGGGATTGAGAGAGAACTTTTGGTGGGAGAATGGAGGGCCTTGCAGATTTCCTGAAGGATGAGGTTCATAGTTTGGGGCTACTTTTGGATCCATCACTGCCATTAGAGGCTCAGATAATCTTGGCACAGAATGCTGTTACCAGTTTATACTAAAACTCTACAAAAAGTTGGCTAAGTTGGCTGCAGTTATCTAAATTGTGGTAATGTCCCATTTGGTCTCCTGGATGCCTTTGAAACTACTGCTAGTGCAAAATATGGACGCAAGAGTTAAATCACCAGTTTTATCTTGCTAGAACTCACTCTCACTTTGTGTCTGAATCTAGATCATAGTGCTTTTGGTATATGAATCTTGTCTTGATCTTGTACCTTGGTATCTGATGGAAAACCTCATCTCATAGGTTCTTATCCATACCCTAAGGTCAACTATGGAGGCACTTCCCTAAAATCTCCCTCATTCTGAAGCAAGGGGATGTTTGTTAAGGGAAGGTCTTTTCAAGGTGACTCTCTTGTAATGGACTGCTCTCCCAGGGAAATTTGTCCAGAATCAACATTGTTTTCTTTCCATCATTAGGTACATTCTTCCAGTATGTACCATAAATTACTGGAACTTGAAGATGCTCCTATGAAAAATTTGGTTGGATTTGTAGAATGTAACTAGAATAAAATATGTATGAAACATAACATGGGAAGTAGTGATAATTCAAATGCATAAATTTTGGCGTAAATTGGGCTCCCACAGAGTTCTATATTAGAACCAATGTTTTTCAACCTATTCATAAATTAAGTGAAATTAGGAATAAACAGTGTAGTGGCCAAATTTGCTTATGACACCAAAGAATTCAAGGTAGTTGATTGGAAAGAGATTGTGAGGAGAGATTATATAGGTTGAAGTTGGGATCTGAGCTAGTAGTGACTGATCAAGAAAGGAATCTTGGTGTTGTCAGTGAAAATGAAAACCCAGTATGCAGCTGATATAAAAAAGGCAAACTCCATCTTAGGCATATTTAGGAACAAAACAAAAAATAGAACTGCCAAGATTGTACTTCCCTTATACAGATCTTTGGTGCAATCACACTTAGAATATTGCGTTCAGTTTTAGTCACCTTACCTCAAAAGGGATATTTGAGAGCCAGTGTGGTGTAGTGGTTAAGAGTGTGGGACTGGGACTCAGACGATCTGGGTTCTAGTCCCTGCTCAGCCATGGACCCAACTGGGTGACTTTGGGCCAGTCACAGACTCTCAGCCCAACCTACCTCACAGGGTTGTTGTTATGGGGATAAGATGGAGGAAGAGAATGATGTAAGCTGCCTTGAGCCCTTTGTAGGAAAAAGGCAGGATATAAATCGATAAATAAATAAATAAATAAATTATTGAGTTGGAGGAAGTGCAGAGAAGGATAACTAAAATGATGAAGGTGTTGGTGCAACTCCGCTATGAGGAGTGCTACAACTGGGACTGTATAGCTTAGAAAAAAGGCAAGTAAGGGGAGATAGAGTGTATAAAATAATAGAGTGTATAAAATGATACATGATGTGGAGAAGTGGAGAGGGAAATACTTTTCCTTCTCCCATACTGCTGGAACCAGGATCATCCCAAGAAGCTGATTGATGGGAACATTCAGGACAGATAAAAGAAAGTCCTTCACACAGCATTTTGTTAAACTATGGGATTCACTTCCATGATATGTAGTGATGGCCACCAACTTGGATGGCTTTAAAAGGGGATTGGTCAAATTCATGGAAGAGAAGGCTATCAAAGGCTACTAGTCTTGCTGGCTGTGTGCTACCTCCCTTTTCAGATCACATGCCTGCATACACGATTGCTAAGGTGCTTGGGTGGGTGGAACTTTTGTACTCATTGCTTCATGTATCTTGTGGACAGCTGGTTGCCGCTGTCTGAATAGAGTTCTGGACTGGATGGACCCTTGTTCTGATCCAGCATGTACCAGGTAGTTTTCCAAGATAAAAATAGAAAGAACAGAAGTCTTGGGAATGTTTACTGTAGTTACTGAAAATGATTTTCAAATAAATACCTGTAAGCTGAAAGAAATTATGCCCTCCAGGCTTTCTCTAGTGCAGTCTGATGTATATAAAAATAAAGACGTATTCAGCCCTTTCCTCCCTCCTATCAAATATCAACTATAGTTAATCAAATTGTGATCTTTAGTGGCATACAGACGAGATGAAATGTGGTCTGAAGAGAGATACACGTGTGAAAGACTTCCACGAGAACGGCTTCCTCCGCGTCCTGATGTAAGTAGATTTTTCTTAATGTGCAATTGGTTTGTTACCTTCCAGTTAATAGTTTGTCTTTACCATTTGCACTTACCAACTATTGTGTTGTTTGTCACTGCATGTAGCAGATTTAAATTTATGGTACAAAACTTGCAAAGAGAACTTGTCACTTTGTATAAAATGTCCTTATGAATATGTGGCTAGGAATCTTGATAGTGATTCTATGTAAATTAAGTTTTGTTTATTTGAAAATGTAGTATATATGGGTTAATTCAAAGAATAGTAGGTACTGATTAGTTAAGATCTATTGTTGGAATATCCTGGATATCTATAACAAGTTTTGCCCACTTTGCATTGTATAAATTTTAGCAGATGTTAGAGTAAGCCCAAGTGGTTTGTTTTCTGGGCAAAGTGCTAAAATGTGATTTAGACTTTGCTAGATTTCACAGATCACCATTTTTAATGTGCTAATTCTCGAATATCTGTGTTGGGTTGGATGAGGCTTCTAAATAGTAGGAAAGGTGCCAACCCAAGGAGCCTTTTGCTCTTTATACACAGGTTCTATCTTTTAGTCATACAATTCAGAAGTGCATGAGGAGCTTGCATTTGAGACAATAGAAGATAGTTTCTTATCTTTTATTTCTTGGGCGTAGCATGCCTTCTTAATATGTATATCTTAATAGGTTAAGCATAAGCCAATATCATCTCTCTTTTCATAATCATGGTTATCATAATGTATTGGAGAGTTCAGAGGGCCAGTCATTCTTTTTACAATTCCAACTACCTGAAATCTAAACCCTTCCCTGGCCAATGTCTTGGGAAGTGGCTTCTGTCAGAGTATGCACCTATTCGTAGACATTAGCAAAACCAGGCTTCACATATGCTGCTTTGTTTTCACTGAACAGTTGTCAAACACTAAGCTGTCGTGTCAGACAACAAAGCTGCAAGCAGATCTTTGCTTGGGAAATGGGGTCATGGGAGATTGCTCTTCGCAGCACAGTCCTCTGATTGTTAAGGACTGTGTCACTCGGTGTTTTCCTCCTTTTCCACTCTTTTCCAAGCCTCTTGGTACTTGGGAAAGGGTAGGCTGCACTTAAGTAGTCCTGTAAACAAGGTAGACTGGTTTTTGTTCTTGTTTTTTTCATTTTTCCATGTCTTTGGTTGATTGGGAAAGTGAAAAGTGCTGCCTACCCTGTTTACAGCAGCACTTATTTAGATAGCTGTCAAAGCAGGTATTTTGATGGGGCTAAGCAGTTTTTGACAAGGACATAGCGGATTTCATGGCTGATTGGGCAATCCTGGGAGTTATCCTTTTTTCTGTCTAAACATTCATAAAGATTGCACCCTTAATTGTTTAAAAGATGCTTGATCATTGTTTTCATTGGTTGATTCTATGATACTGAATTTCTTAAGAATGTTGCTGAAAAAGCAATAATATCCAAAATAAATATATTCTTTTAACATGAACTGTTGTGCTTAGAAATAGGGTTTTTAAAAACCTTACAAAATTATTTTATTTACAGGTTATGCAGTATACATTTGGCAACATAAAACTCCAGGTATTAGCATTTGTTACCTAGGTTGCTGTTATTTTATTTGTTTAGGTTGGCTTTTGGTACATATTATTGGCCTGTCCGTTTTGCACACAGTTTTCAGGCAATTACATATTGCTTTTTGATCAGTTAACTACATTTGGGCACTCTTCTTTGTCAGGCGCATCATGCTGGGTCATCTGTGTGCTAAGATTCATATGCAAATATACATTTATTTTTGTGTCTCTTAGTTGATCTGAAGTGAGTAGCACTTAAAGACCCACAGCTGAAACAGCTGCTCCTAGTTTAAATCTTTCATTTTCCCATATGCTGAGGGAGAATGTGGATTATTACCAATCCTGCAGTGAAAATAGTTCCTTCTAATCCTGAATGGTGAGGGTAGCTGCCATATTAGTAATGTTTTGCAATGTGTCAAGCACAACAGTTTGAAGAAATGGAAATTCAAGGGAGCAGTGGTCAAAGTACAGATTTTGGGTATGTGCTTACTTCAGAGTAAAAGTTTAGCTTGTTTTTGATGTTTCTTAATTCTTTTTACAGGAGCCAGAAAGTGCTCTCCATTTTCAACATGATGGATTTTGGATGAGTTGGAACAGGGTATATATAGTCAGCCAGTCAGTTGTATTTTTAGTAGTCAATCAGCAATAGGATGTTGCCCTTTGATTTACAGTATGCCAATGCAGTTATGACAATAATGGTTTATGTGTTTTTCAGGTAAAGGTCAGTACAATTCAATCTTGAAATAATTATCACAGGATCTGCTTTAGATGTTTTAAATAGGTTTACGTTTTTAATAGGAGATATCAATGTAATTATCACCAAATTAAACTGCAAGTTAAGAAGATGTAAGATGTATTGGTTCTATCTTAAATAGGTAATGGAAGTACGTGCTGCTTGTGTTAAAAAGTATTACCTGTCTATGGCTTGTTATGCCATCAGATCTTCCTGAACTGTTGGCAAACTGGCCTGACAATTCTACCTCATGCTCTATTATAAATTCACCTTAATCCGTTATCCTTTCAGTTTCAGTGCTACCATAAACTAACTTTTCTCTTTATATGTCATCAGTACAGTGGCAGGCTTGAGGCATGGAATGAACAGAAACAGATAATTATTTAAAAGAGAAAACAAATATTTATTTATTTATTTATTTATTTAAACTTGCATTGTGCTACATTGAGATTTAGGTGTATGTGCCTGGGTGGGTGGAAGCAGACATCCCCAACTGCTAGCTTTGCACAACAGCCCTTTGAGCTCATCTCCCCCTGCCCACCCAGAGCTGCACACTAACTCAGTTTGCACAGTTGGCAGGCAGTTAATTGGCTGTGCATGGTGGTCACATACTGGGAAGATTTTCATAACTACCCTTGGCAGGCCAACTAGTTTTGTTGTGTGAGCCTTGCCAGGGTGGCTGTTGCTGTGGGTTGCTGTGCAGTGTTTGGAGAAATGGGAATCCCTGAAAAGTTAGGTGGAAGCACCTTCCGTGAATGGAACTCCATTTATGGTGGGTGCATTTGTCTGACTTGTCAGGGTCCCAAAATCTAATAGACAAATAGATGTTAGTGATTTCCAGTAATAACTCTGTGAGCACTTTAAAGAAATCTTTATATCTTTAAATTCAGTTCCCCAAATAAAATGCATGTGTCTAATTCCACTTCATTTTTCTAACTTAGAATGTTGCAGATGACAACACTTGAAGTTCTCTTTCCAGGCAGGAGCTCATTAGAACAACTTTCCAGTTACGTTGGACTGCAACCTCCATCACAATGGGAGTTACAGTCCAAGACATCTGGAGACTGGAGAAAGCTGTGCTCCAAGGACACACTATTGGACACTCACATTCAAAGTGGAATTATCTTCTTGAAACTGAAGGGGTTTTTTTCCCCTAGCAGGCTTTCCCCTGCTATCTTTCTTCTGGCCAGGGACTTAGAGACTGGGTCACAGCCAAGAAGATGTCTGCCCTCTGTGAAGGATTCCAGCATGAGGCCAACTACATTCAGCTGTCATTCTGGCCAGACATCCTGGATAACTGAGAATCTTCCTCTCTTTGCTAGCTCACATAGCTTCTGCCTTTTATTGGTCACTCCTTTTTCTAGGCTCCTTTTTGCTTTTGGGAGACTATTAGACTGCATTACTCTCTGAACAAGGCTGCGACTGCCTTTTATACTGTTTCACTTAGGCTCCCTTTGACCAAGAACCCATATTAGTTTAGTAGCTGCCAACTCAGGAGGGAAACTTCTCCCTCCTGCCTCAGAACACTAAAGGGATTTAAGTGCCTTTTATTTGTAGATCACTGAGTCAATAGAAGGTTCAGACATAGTGTATCAAAACTTGACATTTCTAATCCTCCCATCTGATAATTTAGATAACAGGTCTAACTAGGAACCACTAAGACCTATAACAGCTTATTTGTAGCAACTGACAAGTTAACAGGCTGCCCACAGTAATCTTAGTATACAAAGTAAAATGTAGGCTTCATCTGGGGCCGATTTCTCACATTTCAGATAATGCTGTTTTCATGTTGGTGTTACTTTTCAGAATACTTTCTTATATTTACATTAACATATTTTAACAATATTTTAACTACCATTTAACTATCTGTAGCTATGAACAAAGAAATTTGTTATTACTGCTAGCTCTGACAAAATGTAACAAAATATAGGAATGTTAAGCTCAGGCTTAATCAAGTCAACAGCCTTGCTCCATGTCATATCACAGTGGATACCCATCTAAACTAGATAATAGTGGATACCTGCCTTGGATATCATTAAGTAGTAATTAGCTGTCTTATATATTTTAATTTCTAATCCCACTTGTAATTGAGAAGTTTTAATACTGTCTAAAAAGACTAAACACACACAGCACATGTAAAACATGCAATGATATTTTTTACGATTCTGGTTTGAGGAATTTTGCACTGCTTTTTAGTGAAAATAATTCAAAGTTTATATCTTTTAAAAGTGTTTTGTGGCAAGTATATGTTTGAGAAGAAATTAAATGATTGCTGTTATTATATTTAGAAAATAAGGAAAAATATGCTTCAACCAGTTGACATCATCATCTTCATCAAATAAGAATAGCCCATTTTTGAATTTTAAGAAAACTAGCAATCCTTATTTGAATGGCCTCTTTAAAATAATTGAAAAGGAAATGTAATAGTAGAAAAATTCAAAAGTTTTTCCCTCTCCCCTACCAGCCCAGTGAATCCAGCTTTTCCCTGATTCATTGTGTGAGTTTGTACATCATGCTAAGCCACCCTGAAAGTAAGCCATACTGGATTGTTGGCATTTTCATTACTCCCTACATATGACTGCTTGCTTGGTGGTTCACCATGATTTATTTCTCCCTTAGTCCCTCTTAGTCCTTCTGGCCTCTACGGCATATATCTCAGGGCCTTTATGGCAGAAAGCTTTAATTCTTTGTTCCCTACTTTGGCACCTTTCTGCATTTGGTCTATTGGGATTGCTGGCTCCCAGCATCAGATCTCCCCTTTCCATATCAAATATCTGTCTGCTATTGAACCCAGATACCTATCTCCTTTTCTTGTCAATGTCACATTTATGTGTGAACAGATCCACAGTATGTGTTTTGCTTGACTTTTTGTTCATTTTAGATGGATCTCTCTTGGGGAGATGTTTTGGCTGTCTGTGCTTCTCTGAGCATTATCATTTGGCTTTTTGTGAAACCTGCATTTTGCGGTGCATGGGGGAGAAAATAGGTGATTTGGCATTTGGGTTTCAGATGCCATCTTGCCTTGTACTTATTTTCATGGCCAATTTACTTGTCTCTGAGCCTCATCAATTTGCTTTCTTGAGGTGAGTGCTGGAACAGAAAATTTAGGTTCGAAAGTATGGCTTTATGTTTTGGAACTGAGACCACAATTTAGATTTTTGGGCAAATTATTTTCCTTTACATATCACCAGTTTGCCTTGTGGCGTGCTGGTATGTTGTGGCTACCATACCACAACCCATGGCAACCAGTTTGTAAGAATGTGTACAATATTCACTTAACATTTTAATTGTACCCATCAGTTGCAAAAAGTTTGGGGATTTGTTTTCTTTCTTTGGAAGCTAATTTTCAATTCATGACCTGGTACACATGACAACAACTGATGGGTTATTAGGGCCTCCTGTCATTTTACATCTTGTTTAGAAAATGACCCTGGAACTTCCTGTTCTGGATTGTTCAGAAGATTTCATTTAATTTTTGACTGTAAAAGATCAGTGCTTATTAGTCTTTCATTTTTGAAATTATTTTAATCGATATCTTTAAATTTGGCTGTTGCATATAATTTCAATTTTTAGGATGACTACCATCGAGTAGTCAGTTTTGCAGCTAAGAAACCTGCACTTCCAGAGAGACCTGGGGAAGGAAGCTACAGTAGATACGACTATAGTCATGGTCCTGTTGTCTATAGAGACTATGGAGAAGGACGTGGTTTTGCCAGTGAAAGAAGAAGTGGACCATTGCACAGAATTGTAAGCTTTATTTCCCCCCTCCCCCATATGTGCATTGCTGGAAGCGGCATGTGCCAGATGAACTTTTGTATTTCTGACATTCTTAAAAAATCCTGTTATTTGTATCTTGCACCATAACTTGCCAAATAGTAGTAAATCAACCAGGATATCATAATCCCAATCCCAGAAATGAAGTCATGGAGTAACTTTTAATGGTGCAGAAATATTCTTCAGACTTGAATGGCCTCTTCTGTGGTCGTATCTGCAGTGGAGCTTTATAGTTCCTATTATATTTGATGGCTTCCTGTTATTGGTGCATCACCTTTTGGTGCAGAAACTTGGCCAATCAGGTTGTAATCTTTGAATTTAATGTTTAATCAGTCAATTTTTTCATTCCTTTCCACTTTTTAAAATAGTCATATTAGTTTTTTACTATTTAGTAACTTGCTTGTTAGTGTAAGTGCAAGATACAATATTAGATTGCTCAGGGCAGAGGAATGCCTCACATTTTAGATGTACTGTCAGGGAAATTGGAAAATTGAAAAACATTATGAAGTGAACTGCGTTTAATGTATAGTAAAAGTAATTGTTCAAATTGGATTTTATATTATACTGAATTATAATTTTCATTTGCTCCTTCTGTTTTATAGGAAGACCCAGGATATAGATGGTCAAGGGAAGACCATCCTAGTCGTCAGCCTGATTACAGGTATTGCTTGATTTTAAAACTTAGTTGTATACATTTTTGGGATCTTTAGATCTAGCTGTTTGTATATATTAAACTTCAATTTGTACTTAGCAAGTTAAATATTAGCTTTAGGTCTACCCCAAAGAAAAGCTTTGCTTTAAAGGTTGGTAATGGCCATGCAGTCACTACTGACACACTGTAGCATTCCAACTAAAGTTGAAAGTTTAATATATAAATTCTCTGAAAGTATTTGTTCCTACATACCTGGAATTCTCCTGGTATGAACTTGCTTGGTGTCTACATAGGGGAAAAGTAGATATGCAAAGCTGCTTACTGTCCTGAAAAATACGATTCCCACTTTTCAATGTTTTTCCAGAGTGTGGTGCAACATGACCTAAATGCTGTTATTCCATAAATCCTTTATTGACTTTCTACTTCCTTCTTACCCCAAATCATCAAGAATTGCAACTGTAGGTACATGCTGCTTTTCTGCTGCCAAGAATATGCCAGCTGAGAGCCAAAGATGACAGCTAAGCAGAATGGGGGTTGCTAAGTACAAGAAAGATGCTTCCTTCAGGGATGTTAGAAAGAAAAAGAACAGACTTACTCTTTTTGGCGCCAGGCCAAACCTTTTTATTCACCCAGTGTTTTCAGGGTGGATTGTTTTATCAGACCATAGGGGTTATTTTATTGTATATTTTAATATAGTATTTTAATTTGCTGTTACACTTCTTGTTTGTAAGCCATCTTGAAATCTGTTTCGGATAAATATAGGATAGAAATGTTTTAAATAAAAAATAAATACAGTAGGTCTGCTGCTCAGTAGAGAAGAGGAAATGCTAGCAAAGCATTTAACAAAGTTCCCAATTGCATTTTGATCAGCAGACTGCTTAAATGCAGTCTTAGATGACTGTATCAGCAGGTAGACTCACAGTGCTTGGCTGTGATTCCTTCTTAATGGCCCTTTTCAGGCATCACAACAACTCACAGTGTCTATTGATTACTATGGGTTGGTTGTTTTTGTGAAGTGCTAAGCCCAATGGATGACTGAGATCATCCCTCCTTTCCCCTTGTGCTTCCAGGTGGTATCCCAGGAGATACCGTGGGAAGGAATGAGTCTCTTGTCTCAACAGCCATATATACAAGCTGATCTTGGCTCACTGTGTCTGTCCCTTTATTTATTTGTTTGTTTGTTTAAAACAGCTCTATGCCGCCCCCATCGCAACAAAGTCTTTCTCTCTCCATTAGGGCAAAAGCCAGCTCCAGAGATTAATTTTGCTAACTCTTTAAGGATCAGGCAAGAGCTTCCATTTCATACTGTCCTGCGGCAAGTTGAAGGAGTTGTCCATGCTTTCCCACTGTTTTCTCTTCCTTCCTGCCTCCGTCCGTCTTTCTGTCCGTCCGTCCATCCTTCCTTTATACCTGCAGATAGGCCTTTTTGTGCAAGATAGTCCTTTTTTTTCCTACTTCACATTAACTCTCCATGAGAAAGACTCATCTTTTTAAAGGAGGGTTTAAAGTGAAACAGCTATTAAAGTATGTTTCTCTTTTTAAAAAGATAAGAGGGCAGTTTGCAAAGGGGCAAAAGTGAAAAACTGCTGCTCCCTAGGGAACAAAGGAAGACACAGAAAGGAAAGGAACTTACTGGGAAAGTGGTGCTGTTTGTGAAAAGCACTCCCACTTTGCCCTCCCAGAGAGATTCAGCTATTGGGTGAGATAGAAATGAAATGAAATAAATAAATAAGGTCCTTTATAGCTTTGCTTTCAGTGGCTCGCTCACGTTGTGCAAGCTGGCCATGAAAAGCAAGGAGCAAGGAAAGGATTTCTGCTGGGACAACATAAAGACAGGTGCATGCTGCATGGTTGCACAACAGAATTGCTGGAGTAAATGGGCTTGATTGTTTCATAATTACCTTGGTATTTAAACTGATAGGTCTAGTATTGATCTGCTCTGAGTCATGATTGTTAATCTGTGTGACAGGTTCTTTATGGTAGTTTTTTATGTTCTCGTGTTGAGAATTTCCAATATAATTATTTTTGTAGCTTTTGCATTGAGATTATCAGTGTTTGCACAAAGTTATACTTTTAATTTTAGTAGTATACATGAAAGATCCTAGGTTCAATCTTTGGACTCTCCAAGGTAGGATGGGAAGGATCCCAGTCTGAAACCCTGGCCATTTCTGAGTGAATTTGTTAAGGCAGTGATCTGTGTTCCTTCATAAGAGAAAAGTACTCATATATCTCACTGAAGTACTGGTAGGTGTAAACAAAATCTAGAGATGGGCAGTAAAGTGATCTTCATTTTGTTTTAACAACCAGAATGATAAAGATTGAAAGTATAGGTTTATCTCATTTATTCTTATTTTAGAAATGTTGATGTGTTTTTTTTTAAAATCTCTAAACATTAGTCAGAGCAAGCATAGGAACAAAGTTGTGTCTTGTTCCTGTTGTAAATAACATCGCCATTTTATTTTTGCTTATGCTGCTGAACTGCATGGGTAGGTAGGTAGGAGTGATTGTCTGTGAGCCCCATGTTAAATGCTTGCTGGTGCAGCAAGGTGGTGGAAAAGTTGTTGACATTCTTTTCAAGGATTAGAAATCTAGCTGAAAACTATCTTAACAACTTTAGAATGCATTGCTACTGTGAGAGCTTAGCAACATTTATCATTTTCCCCTACATTCTATAAAAGTAATTGACTTGAATGCAAACAATCTGTAAATGCTTTAAATCTTGACCTTTAATTTCTTAAAACCCCAAACCTTTGAAAACTGCAGCAAAGAAATTAACCAAAGTTTAGAAGGCTTGTTTTGAAGAGCAATAGTGGCCTCCAGTGGTCAAATGGGATGCATTTTAAAGTTGAGCTTGCCTTAATTACAGAATCAAAGCAAATGTTTTTGTCTTCAACATATAAAAGTTCTGTATCCACGTAACTGGTGATGGGTAACCGAGTAGTCAATTCCAGAGTTCTAAATGGGTGTTGTGACAAGTCAGTGAACAAGACCCATATTTTAACAATGAGGATTTCATTTTTTTTTAGTTTCATTGAATGTTGTTTTCTGTGAACTTCTGTTGTCTTTTCTAGAAAGGTGGCTGCTAAGTTATAGAATAAGCCATAAAGGTTCTCAGCGTCATAACAGTTGACAGAACTGTACCTGTCATGAGAGAAGGGATTGAATATATCACAGGTGGTACAACTGTGTAATTAAAACTGAGTGCATTTGCCTGCATTTAATACACAAGCCATGGGCCAGTGTTGCTAAGGCTATGATATCTGGCAGTTGTGGGCATTATGATAGAGCTCATGAGGTATAGACCAAGCAGTAACTTAACTCTTCTGGGGCCACTCAGAATGAACAGAAATGCTTTCTTTTGGAAGGGAGTAGGCTTATGGAGCATCCTTATGTGAGCTCTGCTGACCTGTCCCCTTTCTGAAACTAGCATATTGCTCATTTCAAGTTTTCCCAGAAGTTGCTAAGTTTTGTTTGTGAAGCAGTACTGGCATAACTGGCAGGTTAAATTTTGTCCGAAGGCTGTTCTCAGATAAAAGAATATTGAGTTGATGGTAACACAATTCTATATATATATAGTTAGAAATATGCTCACCAGTATACATTAGAGCTTACTCACAGGGAAATGTATGTAGAATTGCAGCCATAGTAGCACCTTCTAATAATTATTGGCCTTGACTTTTTAAATTTTTCATTTGCACTGGGTAAGTTGTGTCTATTTTATGTCTGGATTCAAAAAAGCAAAAGCCTAACCAATTCATGCATTAAGCTCTGTGCGAAAAGTGTGAGTTCCAAAATGTCTGAGCACTGGCAGACCAGATGTTGTTGATTGTAGCCTTTAAAATATCACTATGATTTCTTGATATGCAGTTACGCTGATGCAGCGGATCTAGGGTTCTCATGCCAGGTAAACATTTTATTTATAGTCTTTATCTAATTGTGGTTTTAAGAGAAGACCTTTCTTGAGAATCAGTGTATAGTGGTGAATGCCTAGAGGGCATTGTGTTACTATAGTATGCTAGTACTCCTGCAGAAACAATAGTAGGAAGTCATGCAAGACAAGCTTCTGTGATTACAATTTGGTTATATAGGAAATTCTTCTTAATGACCCTGTGGGAAAATAACTAGACAGGCAGATTCCTTTTTACCCTATGTTCAACCCCAGATGATTGATCCTGTGTTTGACTGATATTCAAAATAAACATACATGAAACCAGTGATTTGTAGTGGAAAGGTTATTTTTCTCATGCAAACTCTGCAATGAGGTATCTGATGGGAAAAGTTTTGATATCTTAACCTGTGGAAGCTTTTAAAAAATTCATATCTCAGATAATCTGATGAGCAGTTAACTACAAGGCTATCATATAAGAAAACAACAGAGGATAGATGAATCTGATAGAAGTCAGTAACTTGCGAAAAGGCCAGCAGTCTGCATTTCCATACTGGTCACAGGGGAGGGTTTCCTCTTCTCTATGGCCAACATGATAATGTAGTTTATGGGTTTTTTAGGAGGCTAGCAAAAGCATTTGCAAACTTGTAAGTTTTGTGGGCATATTAGAAAGTTGATTTAGAGATAGTGGGGTCAATTCAACTACAAATTTTCCAATCCTGTAAGCTATGTTTGAATGATCCATGGGCCATTTGCTCTGTCTCTTCCTCTTGTACATTCTTATTTATTTAGTTACCTTGTTTATGCAAATTACAACCTTGGCATTCTGAATTGAAGCACAGGTTTGCTGGTTCAAATGTAAAGGCAAAATATGGTTTGTGCAAAAGAGAAGTATGCTAATGTGGTTTGTATGACCTGGAGGGAAAAGAAGTCATGGTGGATTTCTTTCCCTGCCCTGCACATGTTAGTTGTGTACCACCTCCTTTTTGTAAGGATGTTCACCAAGTACAGGGTCCCACGTTGCCTAGTCAGTATGGGTGGTAGGTCTGTCTTCCAAACCACACTGAAATCTTAAAACAAGCCATGGCTTGCATGTTAGTTTGGAAGCCACCCTGTTGCCCAC